TTTGATAAAGTTCATAAATCTTTTCGACCTCTTCTCAATACTCTGTACGGTTCAACGCATACTTCTCGATCTATGTCTTGCGAAAATTTTACGTCTAAAAAATGTACGCTCAAAAAATAGGAACAGGAAACTCGTTATGTCATCAAGTCTTCGGCTGTCGTCTCTTCCTAGCTTGACTTCTGTCTGGTACTGCGGAAGGTCAGGACGAACAACCAACCGGAAATTATAGCGGGGGACCAGGAGATCGCTTCATGCTTTTAATGACGATTCATTTCTATGAAAAATGCATTCTGAGTGAGTATCAGGCGAAGCGATTTGGACCATTGTCGTTTCTTCTCACCGCCAATAGGGGGACAGGGAAAATTTTCCCACGCTGTCCTTGTGACATTGCGGGAAATGTATAATGCAAGAAACAAGCCGTGACAACAATCTCTTTGCTGGAGTGACCATAGATGCAACTCTCGATTCAGGACAATGCACCTCGGATCATCGGTTGGCACAGAAGGTTGAAATTTCCGGCTAACATCGCTAGTCAGTTTTAGCCATGGGAAGTTTCTAATAATGTTGAAGATTATGAACTGTTCTTTAATGCACAGCAAGAATTTGGCTTGGTTTTGATGACTGACACGACAGAAGCAATATCGCTGAACTCAGCTCTGAAAATGAGCGATGTAACTCATCTGTAATGATCATCTTCTGTGGTAGGAAATGTGTAAATGGAAATATTTAAGTTTGTAAGATTTTCCGTTAGACAGCGTGACGAAACAAAGCAAATTTTTCTGACCGATTCATTCTTGGAGGCATATGGTGAGGTCACGTGAGGCCACACTGAAAAAAGTCGTGGCGGAGAACGAGGAAGAACAAAAAGTAGAGGGTTGGATGGTCGAGGCATGCTGCTTGAGGTTGCCCACATGGACACCGCATTGACGACGCATCGAAACTTGCCGTAGGTAAATCCTAGTCGCTAGGCGCAGTTCGAACGAGGCCTCGGCCTTGTCTCAGATCATCGGTCTTCTTCGCTGCTGGACGGGACGACGAGTGCAGTACAACTGTTCAGTTTCTGCGATTTACCATATTGTGTTTTTGGTCAACGGCCTATGGCTTATCCCTGCCATAATCCATGGTCATACATGCAATGGTGAAATGGAACGTTACCGTTTTGTCCACTGCTGCAGGACCTGCTTTGTTTTCTCGGATTCGCGGCAGTCTTCGGCCAGACGTAATCACCGATCTTTCGGCTGCATGCTGGTAACTTGGTGAGCATTTAGTCGCTTGACGAATGACCGGTCTTTCTGGCCATGAGTTAGGACAGCTGAGGTAGTGTCGGAGGTCCGACGTAACTCATACGGTGCCGAAGACCGCTTGACAGGTGTCACTGGAATCTGCTGATTGCAGTGGACGGTTTCGCAGGCAATCGCTGCTCGGCTGCGCGCTCGGTGCTTCTCACGAAACCTCTTCTTCGGCCAACTTTACGTCCTGTCGCATCGTCGTCATCGACTGGCCGAACGCCTGCCGCACAGCAGGACGAGACCATCAACGCACGGCTTACGAAGTTCCTGTCCCGGGAAACGATCTGTTGAGCAGCGGCAGGCCGAGTTGCTCCTGGCGAACTTGTGGCTTACGACTCAGACCCTACTGCCAGATGCCCCGTTCAAAAGTGCTTTCTCATGTCTGTCGCAGGTCTGCTTGCTTGATGCCGTTTTCGACGTCGGTCTCGATTTCTGAGGTCGTTCCACGTTCTCGACCGACGGCTGTACATCAGGTCGTCTTCAGGTTGCTCTTGTAGTAGTAGTAGTAGTTATTGTTCTTGTGGCTGTGTTCGTCACCTGAAGAAGGCTGATCGAAGTTAGTGAAGCCTGAGCATCAAAATTGTCTGATTTGTGACGCCTGGTAACCATAGTTCTTCGTCGCTGATGTTGCACTGCTGCAGATCAAATCTTATCACACGGACAGCGTATGTTCAGATCTTGTTTATGATAGTGTCTATGAGATGATACCGTGTAGGTTTCGAATGGCTCGTTCATGAGCTGAAGACCAATGAGGAGGGATATCTATCTTCATTATACCTTCATTGTTGGGGGGGCATCTGTGGATACCATCTATTTATGAGTTTTATGGTGATGCAACGTTGATCCGTCTTTCTAGGTCATTAGTCAGGAGTGTTTTATTTCAGAGGCGGAACCTGCAGCGGTGCAGCATGCACAGAGCATCCTGTTTTCGAACAGTGTGGTACTCATTTCAACAGGATCACCTGAACTAGTCACTGTTTGGAGAGGAGCCGTGGAAAATGGTACGGGTCGATATTGAAACCTATTTATTCTTGCTATAATATCGTGAAGCTTTGCCACTGGTCAATAGAGTTGCCTGTGGTCTGAGGAATTTCGTACAGGTGGATTCCCTCAATTCCCTCTGCTTTTCTATCCCAGCATTTTTTTATCGTTTGAA